GGGAGGGAGGGCGGGAGGGTGAGAGAGATCAATGTGAGGGAGACACATGGAGCGGCCGCCTCCTACACGCACCCCAACGCGGGCCAGGGATCAAACCTGCAACCCAGGTACGTGCCCTTGGCCGGAAATCGAACCCCAGACCCTTCAGTGCTCAGGCCGATGCTCTAATCTCTGAGCCCCACAGGCCGGGGCTCCCCCAGCTCTTTGGCTCTGGACAAGTCACTTACGCCCCGGGCCTCAGTTTTCCCACCTGTCGAATGGGGTGGGAACAGCCCCTACTCCTTGAGCCCCTGGAGCGACTCCTGCGGCATCAGCTTCCGCAGGGGTCCCGCTCTGCAGCGGCCACGGGGCCCGCGGCCCAGGTGCCCGGGTGGCAGGGTGACGTGGTCGGCGGGGCTTTCGCCCCTGGTGTCAGGCCCGTGAATTTCGGTTGCACGGCAACAAGGCTCCGTGCGGAAGGAATTAAGGCCGCGGGCCTTCAAATTGGGAGATTATCTCGGATTGAGGCCTGAAAACAAGAGCTTGCTCCAGTGGGAGCCACACAGGCCCAGCTCAGAGAAACACGAGGCTTGAAAAAAGGGCTCGGCCACCTTTCCTGGCTCTGCAGGTGGAGAAAGGGGCCACAGGCCAAGCAGCGCAGGCGGCCCCTGGAGCAGGTGAAGATGACCCCCAGGTGACTGCGAGCCGGGAAGCAGGAACCTCAGCCCTGTGGCCGTGCGCAGCCCAGTCCTGCCAGCAACGGGGTGACCCGGGAAGAGGGTCTGTCCCCAGGGCCTCCAGAGAGACACGGCCCTGCTGGCACCTACCCTTGGCCTGTGAGACCCGGAGAAGGGAAACCAGGCACCTACTGCATATCCTTCCATAGAACTGTCAGGTAATAAATGTGTGTGTTTTGATTTATTGATCTGAGAGCTAGAGGAAGGGAGAGAGAAACATCGATATGAGAGAGGAACGCTGATTTCTTGCCTCCTCTATGTGCCCCAACAGGGATTCGAACTGGCCACCTTTTTGGTGCAAGGACGACCCTCCAACCAACTGAGCCACCCAGCCAGGGCCACCCTCATTCTTGCTTTATGTGCAAAAGCGTATTCATAAGAGTAAAAATAAGAAAACAACTATGTAGGGAGCAAACGCGGAGATTCTCCCCAGCTGTGGGCCTGAGGCATGGACGGCTGCTGAGCTGGATTCGCAGGGAGACGTCCCATTAACACCCCCCCATCCCAGTGCCCAGTCTGGGGGAGCTGTGAGCCTGGCCCTGGCCGGGGAAGCAAGAGGCACTACAAGCCTTGGGAGACATGAGCTGGTTGGGAACGTGCGTCCTGAGGCTCAGCAGGAGCTCAAGCCTCAGGGCAATAGGCCAGCTGTGAGAGTGAGGAACGTCCGGGAACACAGGCCTGTGTCTGAGCTCAGAGCCCTGAAAACAGCGCCCCCCACCCCAACCTCCCGCCCCAGGGAGCTGCCCGTGGTGCTGAGTCTGCTCAGGACAAAGGGAGAGGGGATGAAGCGCAGGGGAGACGCCGGACGGACGTGGGGACACACGGGGCGTTCTGGAGAGCAGCAGAGGCCTGGGGGTGCAGGGCCTCCTTTGGCGCNGACGTGGGGACACACACGGGGCGTTCTGGAGAGCAGCAGAGGCCTGGGGGTGCAGGGCCTCCTTTGGCGCCTGAGGACACAGGTGAGAGTCATGGGGTGCTGGAGGCACAGAGGTGGTTGTGGGGGCTGAGACACGCCTGCGAGGGTGTCACCCCATCCGTCTGCTCTCCTGACTGCAGGGCTGGGCGTCACTTTCCACGGGGACCCAGGCTCTGCGGCTCAGCAGCGAGGTGACCAGGAGCGGGGGTCACTGAGGGGCGAGCGGAAGGCTGGCTCTGCCCCCCGCAGGCCCGGGTTGCTGGACACGAGTCCTCCAAGCCTCCCTCTGCATTGTGAGCGGGGGTGCTGGCGAGTAATAAAACTTACCCCCCAAGAGGGACCCGAGCGTAATCATTAATTGTCACTGGATCAAAGTTTCCCGAAACCAGGAAACGATGTGCGTGCGTCAGTTACGATGCGCCCGGGGAATTCACACCATCACGCTCCGCACGCGTGATGACCTGTTAACACGGGTGGTGTTAACAGCACTAATGACCAGGGCCAGCGTGGCCTCGGGGGGCGCTCAGCACGGCTGAGTCCCGCCCATCGAATCGCGGCTGGGAGCAGACGCCAGCTCCTGTGCGTTTCGGCCCTGGAGCCCGGCGGCAGTAAATTCCTCTCCGTGTCAGGGGCGCAGAATCAATCTCGGAGCCAGAGACAACAGTAAACGAGGCAATCAGGGTGCCCGCTCCCCTCTATCGTGATTGAAAGCTCAGGACCGTAATCCTGGCCTCCCGGGGGCCATCCATCAGCCGGGCCAGGCGGGAAGCGAGACAGTGTTTTGTGCTTTGGCTCAGGAGGGCCGGGGGATTTATCGCCGCCTTCCCAGAGCCGCCGTCCCCGGGCTGACACTTCCCGTCCGCCCTCAGCCGGCGACACAACCCTAGACCACGGCCGGCCGGCCGGCGCTCAGCCCGACTCGCAGGGCCTCTCAGGAGCAGTGAGTCTGCCTGACTGTGAGGGAAACACAGTGCCCGTCTTCGACCTTCACCAACCCCCTTACGCTCTGAGCCTCTGTTTGAAACCATCTGTAGACTGGGGGGAATGACCCCCATCTCCTAAGGGGGCTATGCGGGCAGAGGGTGCCCACCAATGCCAAGCACCGACCATACGCCTGACACACGGTAGGTGCTCGATAAGTAGTAACTACAAGAAACGTAACCTGCCCTGGCCGGTGTGGCTCAGTGGTTACAGCATCCGCCTGTGTGCTGAAGGGTCTCGGAGTCGATTCCCGGTCAAGGGCACGTACCTGGGTTGCAGGTTCGATCTCCAGACCCGGTCAGGGCACATGCGGGAGGCGACCAACCCATGCGTCTCTCTCACCTCAATCTTTCTCTCTCCCTCCCTCCCTCTCTCCCACTCTCTCTACAAATCATCGGAAAAAATATCCTGGGGGGAGGATTAACCAAAAAAAAAAAGAGGAAACATGGGAAGGGACTTGCTTAGTGTCACAGGAAAAGACCTTGTTACCCGAGTTCATGTTCCAGCTGGTGGTCACAAGCCAGCCCAGCGTGAGGACCACTGTTCAGCCGTGTCCGGCAGGCCGGGGGTCACCCGGGACTGCAACGGCCCCCCGGGAAATGCGTTTCGCTTGGTGCGTTCCTGGCCTCTGAGGCTAGAATCAGTGCAGCTTAGGGTGTAACTGCTCCCTGGAATTTGGGTGATCAGAAAACACACAGGATTTGAGTTTCTCTGACACCGTGTCTTCAACCTTCCTCTCTGTCCTGAAACGGGGGGGAGGAGGTGGCGAAAAACTAGAAAACGTGTAATTCCAAAGACACATGCGCCCCTGTGCTCACTGCAGCGTTATCCACAGGGGCCGAGACATGGAGACAAGCGAAGTGCCCTGCGGTAGGGGCTGGACAGCGAGGCTGGGGGCACGTACACAGGGCAATGCCACTCAGCCACGAGGAAGGGCGAAGTGCCGCCATTCATAACTCGGGTGGGCCGTGAGAGCACTGCGCTAAGTGCAATAGCTGAGAACCACATGATATCCCTCCTCCGTGGGGTATGAAACTGAAACTTGCGGATACAAGCAGCGGCGTGGTGGGTGCCAGAGGGAAGGGGGTGGGCGGAGAAGGGGGTCTTAACATACGGTGACGGGAGACTTTGGGTGGCGGGCGCCCCATGCAATATGCAGAGCCTGTGACATAGAAAGCCACGCCCGAAACCTGTATGGTCCTATTAACTGACGTCCAGTGTCACCCCAATAAATTTAACAATAAAATAACCAGGGGTGGGGATGTGTGGGACCTTCTGCAGGCCCCTCAACCTCCCTGAGCCTCAGTCTCCGATCCTGAAAAAAAGTTAACACCTGACACAGCAACAGCGTCACTGGGACTAGAAACCTTGTGAGATGCCAATGTGTGTCGGTGCGTTATCTCAAATGGCCTATTGGACGCCCAGGATCCCGGCTTTCCGATCAGCAGGTAAAATCGGATCTGTGGGCTGTGCCTTTCTCCTCCCCCCGAAATAACTGCGCAGCAAGTGCCGCCCCCTGCGGGTGGAAATGAACAGGGGACGTTCCTGCCCTGTCCCCAAGGAAGCGACAGGAGAAAGCCTATCAGCACCCACCTCGATCCACGAGGTCAGGTAGGGCCCGGCCCTGACCGGGGTGACAGAGACTCCAAGAGACCCTGCTCGCTGGGTCTAGGGACGTTAGTGGGACCAAATCCAAAAAGGACAGAGGA